GCTCACTTGGTAGCCCAGGCTGGCCTCGAACTCACAGAGATCCGCCTGGCTCTGCCTCCCGAGTGCTGGGATTAAAGGCGTGCGCCACCAACGCCCGGCGTTTGCTGTGTTTTTTAAGACAAGGTCCTTGTAGCTCAGGTTACCCTCAAATGTACTATCTGCTCAAAAATGACCTTGAACTTCTGATCCTTTTGTCCTCACTTTCCCAGTACTGGGATTACAGGTGTGTGCCACATCTGGCCTTACCCTGTCTTGATGACTGCGTTTCACTGTGAGGACTGTTTTGTCAGTAGCAGCTGGCTGGACCCCAGGCCACCATAGCACATGCCCTGTCCCTCCTTTCTAGAACTGACACTGAGGCAGAAGAGTGTTTCCTGTACAGGACCTGCGACCTCATGACAAAGGAAAGAGTGGAGCAGATGGAACCCTTCTTCAGTAAAGAGTAAGCAGGCTACGGTTCTGGGAGGAAAGTGCCCGAAAGATGCAGGCATCTGGGGCCTCAGAGCTTTCTTCTGTCCCTTTCCTGTCCCTTTTGGAGTCTAGCTGCACTTTCTGGACTTGGAGATTCTTCTATTAAGTTCCCCTCATTCTGCCTAGGAAGCCGTCAGTGACTCATCTGGTGCAGGCTGAGCTGAGGCTGGCCCCAAGCTGCAGGCTGAGCTGAGGCTGGCCCCAAGCTGCAGGCTGAGCTGAGGCTGGCCCCAAGCTGGCTGGCCGTGACGCTGAGGGCGCCCCTTCCTTCTGTGCTCTGGTTCCCTGTTCCACTCTTGGCTCTGCCGACACCCCATCTGCTGTTGCTCTTGGGTCCTGGCTTCTCCCCTGGCAGCACCCCAATCCTCTCCTTCCTCCACATATGTCCTAGAGCAGCTGCACAGGTCTTAGGCACCAACCATCACTGTGGCCTTTCAGGGCCACACATGGAAGATGACCTGCCATCTGACCGCACCTCTCCAGCCTGCTCTTCAGGCTTGTGGATGGCGGCATCTCAGCCTCCTCCCCACCCTCCCCCTGCGGCTGACTTGACCTTGTGTCCTCCTGAGGACATCCAAGCAAGTTTTCTCCCTCCAAGAGACTGACTGCCTTTGTGGGTGGGCCCCGCCATAGCCATAGAGCTGGCAGACCATCTTGTCCCCGCCCCCACACGTCCCTCTCTGCCTCAGAGATGTGACGCTTCTGGTTCATCTTTCTGTGTTATCAGTTTTCCCAGATTATTCTAAGTGATATGCAAGCATCACCCCTCTTAAGTAAACAGTTCCCCTTGCCCTCATACTGTACCCCCAATATCTGCTCCATTTCTCTGCTTCTCTTCTCCTCTCTCTAGACAAGGCCTTCTGTAGGATCTTTGTCTGAGGAGACATGAAGAGTGAACAAATGTCTTCCATCTCAAAGAGGCCACCAACATTTATTCTCTCTCTCTCTCTCTCTCTCTCTCTCTCTCTCTCTCTCTCTCTCTCTCCCCTTCATCTCTCCCTCCCTCCCTCCCTTTCTCCCTCCCTCCCTCCCTTCCCCTCCCCTTCTGGCTAGTCTTTTGTCAACTTGAAACAAGTTGGAGTCATCAGAGAGGAGGGAGCCTCAGTTGAGAAAACCCCCCACCGATTGGCCTGTGCATTTCTTGATTAGATACTGAAACAGAATCCTACATTAGTGAGCACACTTCTCTGTCATAAGCCTCCTATTCATTCTTCTCAATAGATACTACGTCTGACTCCTTAGACTCCACTGTGCTACTAACATGGATGGTTAAAGTGCATAAATATTTTGTGGGGGTTTAAAATGTAAATTTCCAATGTCAGCTCTCTTAAAAGAGTCACTCAGAATTAATTTTTTATTTGATATATAATTTTTATGTTACTGTATCTTTTTAATAATATGCTACTACCAAAACAAAATCATGCTAATTCAATGAATATCGAATTGTGTGTTTGAGCAACAAATAACAATAATGTCAGACCAGCCTCTTTTAAAGTAGGATACCTCAATGCTCTGGTATTCAACAAAAATTTAAAGGTAGCCAATAGAATTTTGTAGCATTCCCTATCCCCCTTTGCTCTATTTTATGTCTTTGAATTATTGGCAAGAACCATGGTGTACTATTTTTTGATTCCTAGATTCAAAACTTCATATCTGAGTATAGAGCATGGAGTAACTGTAGAAACCAAGACAGTATACCGGGACCCTGGTGGGGACTCAGGATGCGAATAGGGAGGTACAGGTGACAGGAAGTGATGTAGAAGGGCCCAACTCACAGTGGGTGGTGCCACATCTGGCATGTGGCCCTGGGTTCTATAAGAAAGCAAGGTGAACAAGCCAGTAAGCAGCACCCCTCCATGACCTCTGCTTCAGTTCCTGCCTTGAGCTCCTGCCCTGGCTTTTCTTTACGATGGACGGTAAGCCGTAAACTGGAATAAACTCTTCCTGACCCAAGTTGCTTTGGTCATGGTGTTTATCACAGCAACAGAGACCGACCAAAAGGGCCTGGAAAGACAGCTCAGGTTAAAGCACTGGCCGCTCTTCCAGAGGTCCTGAGTCCAATTCCCAGCTCCCACATTTCATTACTGGTGGCTCACAACCATCTGTAATGAAATCTGGTGCCCTCTTCTGGCATGTGGGCATATGTGCAGGCAGAACACTATGCATAACAAATAAATTTTTAAAAATTAAAAAAAACAAAAAAAAACAAGCCGGGCGGTGGTGGCGCACGCCTTTAATCCCAGCACTCGGGAGGCAGAGCCGGGCGGATCTCTGTGAGTTCGAGGCCAGCCTGGGCTACCAAATGAGTCCCAGGAAAGGCGCAAAGCTACACAGAGAAACCCTGCCTCGAAAAACCAAAAAAAAAAAAAAAAAAAAAAAAAAAAAAAAAAAAAAAAAAAAAAAAAAAAACAGGCTGGAGAGATGGCTCAGAGGTTAAGAGCACTGACTGCTCTTCCAGAGGTCCTGAGTTCAATTCCCAGCAACCACATGGTGGCTCACAACCATCTGTAATGAGATCTGGCGCCCTCCTCTGTATACATAATAAATAAATAAATCTTTAAAAAAAAAACAACAAAACCATAACTAAGATCTCTTGCTCTTTCTAGTTTGGTGTGTGATGTGTGTATGTTGGGAGGAAGTATATACATATAGGTGGGCAGGTTCATGAAAGCAGGCCCGAAGAGGACAGCACATGTCCTGCTCAATCTCTCTCCACCTTATTTCCTTGAGACAGGGTCTCTCACTGAGCCTGGAGCCAGGACAGCAGCCAGTATGTCCTAGAAATATGTCTATCTCCACCACCCACAGTTCTGGGGTTTCGAGCACATGCTCAACTGCACCTAGATTTTGCAAGAGTGCTAGGGATTGCACTCAGATCCTCATGCAGTGCAGCATCACCCTTACCCATGGAGCCGTCTCTCCAGCCCACCCTACTTCTCTCATTTTGAAGAGCTGTGTCTTGTTAGTGAATTAGCACACTGAATCCTCAGACCTCTGAGGCGGTAGCATCACCCTCTTGGGGCAACCGGAGAGCCTAAGGCTCCGAGAAGTTATAGTGATCAGTACCACGGGGACTCAGCTGGGGGAAGAGCTGGGATGCACACCCTGGTCTGACATGAAGTCCAGGGCTTTTTCTCCTGACACTGGCTGAGACTCTGGTGCCCATGTGGCCTGCTAATGTGAAGCTGGGTGGTTTGGGGTAGTTCCTTCCCATCTCTGGGCATTGGCTTTTTCATTCTATGAGGTGAGAAGGCCAGCCCTATCATCACTCCGGGTCATGGCAGGGTTAGGGCAGAGGAGCCAAGACAGCCATTTGGACTGGTACTCCTACAGCGGCTTCAAACCTAGACTTCCAACAGTCTCCCCCAGTGAGAAGGTTATGCCGACATCATACCAACACACAATGACTGCTTTAAAAGAAGTCACTCGGACTGGGCATGGTAGCTCATGCCTTTAATCCCATTGCTCTGGAGGTAGAGACAGATGGATCTCTGGGAGTTCGAGGCCAGCCTGGTCTACAGAGCAAGTTCCAGGACATCTAGAGCTGTAATACAAAGAAACCTTGTCTCTAAAAACAAACAAATAATAAAATAAGACACTCACCATGTAACTCACTGACACTGCCATGATGACTCTGTCATGGCTAGTCTTGGGTGTTGACTTGACTACATCTGGAATTAACTAAAACCCAAGAGGCTAGGTACTCCTGTGAGCAATTTTTCTTGACTGGATCATTTGAAATAGGAAGATCCACTTTAAGCGCCAATCTTTCGAGATGGAAAAATCCATCTTAAATCTAGGCCACTCCTGGTGGCAGCCTATATAAAGTCATGGAAGAAAGAGCACTGGCTCTTGGTCTGTTTGCTCTGCTCTCACTGGCAAGTCCAGTCCTTCACTGGCATGAGAGCCGACTTCTTCGGGACTCTGGCATGTAATGAAGACCAGCTGAGACATCCAGCCTCGTGGACGGAAAAACTACTAGATTCTTGCACTATCTATCAGGAGACAGTCATTGTTGGAATAGTCGACTACAGCCTGTAAGCCACCCTGGCTAATACACTCCGGTTTTGTATGTATCCCATAATAATCTTGTGACTTTCAAGGCCTTCACTTGCTGTGTTTAACGTTCAGTGGAGTCTAACCACATTCAGCTCCACTTGGGGCCTATCTTTATTTTTAAAACTCCAACACTTCCTCCAGGTGGAGCAGTGTCCCGCCTCCCCACCTTCTGCACAGTCCCCTCGCAGCCCTGGGACTCACCTGGAAGACCTGCTTGTCAGCAAACCTGGTGGCTCCGAAGGCCGCTGTCTCCATCAGCACCATCACGGCCAGCTGCACCAAGTTGGCCTTCCCGAGGACGGCCCCGGCTGAGATGAGCACAGGCATCGTGCTCATGGTGGCTTTCCGGATGCTGGGGGATGGGGAGTGGAGGGAGGGGAGAGAGAGACCCTGTGAGGAAGAGTCCCTCTCATTCATCACGTCTCCCCCACAAGGGGGCTGCTGCAACAGAGTGGGGGGGGGTCTCCTGCCCTGCCCCTCACAGGGGCTGCACCTGCGGTCTGAGTTTTCTTTGCACACATCCATGGTGCAGGGAGGCTCAGAGGCTCCAAGTCTCTTCTACAAATGTCACCGGGATTCAAAGTGGCTGCTTCTTCCTGACACCGCTGTCTGTATTTCACCCTCAACCCCACACTTCTTCTTTTTTTTTTTTTTTTTTTTTTTTTTTGGTTTTTCGAGACAGGGTTTCTCTGTGTAGCTTTGCGCCTTTCCTGGGACTCACTTGGTAGCCCAGGCTGGCCTCGAACTCACAGAGATCCGCCTGCCTCTGCCTCCCGAGTGCTGGGATTAAGGGCGTGTGCCACCACCGCCCGGCTCTTTTTTTTTTTTTTTAATGATTCTTAGGTGCATTAGTATTTTGTCAACAGGTATGTCTGTGTGAGTGGCAGTTGTAAGCTGCCATGGGGGTGCTGGGAATTGAACCCAGATCTCCTGGAAGAACAGCCATCTCTCCAGCCCAACCCCCACCCCCTGCTTCTTTTCCTCGGTCACTATGCTCAGATGCTCCATAGAGGGCGCGCTGCGCCTGCCAGCCCGCCAGAAACCTAATTTCTCTCCTGGGGTGGAGCCTGGGTTTGGAAGTTTGGAAGTAGAATAAGCCTGGCTTCCCGTCCCAGCTCTACCACCCAAGCAGCTACTTCATCCCACAAAGCATCCACCTGTAAAATTTGGATGGCCATATTTGTTCGCCCGGGGAGGGGTTAGAAGGAAGTCTGTGTAAGTGTATCTACTGAACACAAAGACTGGTAGGCACTTGAGGAGGGAATTCATGAGCAGAGGCTGGCGTCATGAGGACTGTCAAATCCTTCCTCCCCTGGACAAATGTGCAGGCTCAGTGTGGGGATTTGGGTAGAGAAAACCTTTTTTTGTTTGTTTGTTTGTTGTTGTTGTTGTTTGTTTTTTGAGACAGGATCTCTCTGTGTAGTTTTGGTGCCTGTCCTGGATCTCATTCTATAGACCAGGCTGGCCTTGAACTCACAGAGATCTGCCTGGCTTTGCCTCCCGAGTGCTGGGATTAAAGGCTTGTGCCATCATGCCCAGATGAGAAAACCATTTCTCTTCAAAGTGCCTCTGGTTTGGCTGGAGAGAGACAGGGTTTCCTGAGACAGCTGTGCCAACTGGACTTATCATGGAGGGCTTCCTGGGGGAGGTGGCACTGAATTGGGCCTTTTCCTCTCCCCTGAAGCCTCTTCTCTCTAGGATTTAACCAAGCTGAGATCCAGATGCTGATAAGATGTCCGAGGTTAATACGGGTAGTACTAGGTTACCACAATGTCCCTCATCATGTACAAGAGGGCACGGAGCTGGAAGGATGGCCACTACTACCTCCTGGTAGCAAACATGAGGTTCAAGCCCCGCTGGCCTAGATCGAAGACCATGTCCTCCAGCTGAACACAACCTCCCGGTCTTTACTGTTGCTGTTCCTGAGGCCCAAGGATGTGAGGGAACGATAAGAGAGGGACATGGGGAAGTGGACCAGGAGTGACGATATATGGGGGAACTCTGTGTGTCGTTGCGTCTAGACAGGCTACGCTTGGTAGGTGAGTGCTCGATGCATGGACATGCTCAGTTCAGAAATTAGTGGGCCAGCCATGGCATTTCAGGCCTGTGACAAGCGGCAGCGGGAGGCAGCAAGATCCTGAGATAAGGTGCTCAAAAGGTTTGACTCAGCCACGTCCTGACAGTGGGACCTGGGATGCACTCTGTGCCTCGGTGACTTCGAGTGTAGGGTAGAGGTAACACCTGGGAAGTTCCAGTCAGAGCAGAATTCATGAACACACGTCAGATGCAACAAGGAAGTTGGTCATTGCCAGGACCTTCTAGGGAGAATCTTCTAGAACCATTCAGGGTATATTAAAAGTATATCCAGGGGGCTGGAGAGATGGCTCAGTGGTTAAGAGCACTGGCTGTTCTTCCAGAGGACCAGGGTTCGGTTTCCAGCACCCACATGGCGACTCACACCTGTCTGTAACTCCAGTTCCAGGGGATCTGACACCCTCACACCTTGGAGGCAAAACACCAAATGTACATAAAATACAAGTAAATAAATAATGCTGAAAATAACTACATCCATGGAACCTGGTGTGTGGCTCAGTTGGCACAAAGCCCTGAGTTTGACCCCCAAGTACTACATACATAAATTAGGTGTGATAGTGCACCCCGTAACCTTAGCACTCAGAAGGTTGAGGCAGGAGGATTTGGAAGTTCAAGGCCAGCCTCAGCTCAAATAGTGAATTTGAGACCTGTCTGTGTTACGTGAACCTATGTCCGGGGGGGGGGGGGGGGGGGGGGGGGGGGGGGGGGGGGGGGGGGGGGGGGGGGGGGGGGGGCGGGGAAGGGGGGGAGAGTCACCAGTGGTGGTGGATGGGGCTCAGTAGCAGGTCTGTCTAGCATTTGCAAGGTCCTAGTTTGATCCCCAACACTAGGTGTGTGGGGTCGTGGAAATCACTCAGTGAAGGGCCCTTTGTTTTCATTTTTATCCCAATGAGCGTTTACCAAGTTCTTACTGTGTGAAAGATTCCAAGGCCTCTGCCCTACAAGGACTCATTTGGAGCCCATTTGGTACCGAGTCAAGTTGTCCATGTTTGAATCAGGCCAGGCAGAGAGAGGGGTCTCTGTCCCTAATGCAGGGAGCAGGGCAGGCAAAGCCCACTAGCCCCGCCTGGCCTGACAGGCGGGTGGGTACCACTGTTCAAACCCACAAAGCCAGTGCCAGCTGAGTCTCAGCGGGGAGGATGGATCCAAACAGCCTTTGGTAGGATGGTAGCTGGGTAGCAGGTCCCTGTGGACATCACAGGGGAGCAGTCCTGAAATGTCCCTGTTCCAGTTTGCTTGTGTGCCAAGGCTAGCGTCCACATGACCTTAAACCAAGGTAGCAGAAACCTCAGCCCAGGGCTGCCACAGTAAGAACCCCCAGGGTGTGTCCTTTGACACAACCCAGGGGGTATCCAGTCCCCACAGGCAGTAACTCTAAGTCTCGGCTGGCCTCACACTCACTATGTAGCTGAGGGTGACCTTGAACTCCTGATCTTCCTGCCTCCACCTCGGAAGTGCTGGGATCACAGTGTGCCATCAAGTCCGGTTTTTTGCAGGGTTGGTTGGGAATAGAACCCAGGGCTTTAGGGCTTTATGCATGTTAGGGAGGCGCTCTGCTAACTCAGCTTCAGCCTCTCAGCCCTCTAAAACATTTAAAAAGGAACGAACCATTTCACACCATGACTGCTCTCCAGTGCAAGGGAAGGCTGGAAGGAAGTTAAAATTCGGTGACCCCAGCCACGTGTCTTACCCTCTCGGAGCCTTTACTTCCTTACCTGTATATGAGCTTGAACCTTGACCCTAGATGTGCTAAACAGAATATTGGTGAAGAGTCTGGCACAGTGTTTGGGGTCACAGAGTTCACTGTCCAAGGACAAGTCCCAGAAGGCTGAGCAAGGGCCTAAGAGGGAAAGCTGGGATGAGCCTGACAGGGCCTGAGAAAGTCCCAAGATGTGACTCTGAATCATAGTGATTCAGGGTTGGATAAACAACAACAAAACTTTCTTTTTGGGGGGAGTGAGGGGAGTTAAAACAGGGTCTCACCATGTAGTCTTGGCTGGCCTGAAACTCCCTATGTAGACCAGGCTGGCCTTGAACTCACAGAGATCTGCCTGCCTCTGTCCCCCAAGTGCTGGGATCAAAAGTGTGCGCCACCACATCCAGCCAACAAAACATTGTTAAGGAAAATGTCACCTAGTTCTTTCTATCAAGTATTTAGTGCCTTTTTAAAGTAGTGTAGAGCCCCACATGAATACTCTATCATCTGTCTGTGATGGTTAGTTTAGAATCATCTTGTAAGAGGGGATCCTCAATTGAGGAATTAACTCCATAAAGGGCATTTT